ATGGATTACTATATAAAAGTGTGCATATAAGTATGCGATTTTCGTGCACTTGGTATTGACTATGTTAGATGGCGTTGTGCATCTTTTTCTGAATCTTTCGTTATAAATTGATCAAACGTTAAATTCTTGTCTTATGGGACTCGGTGTGGCTATAACGGCATATCTTTCTGCAAATGGAGACAAGCGATGCCTAACCGATTCTCTGTCACTGATTTTATATTAGTTGTGATATAACTCGCTGTGTCTCTGTAACGCTGTACTTCATAGGTGTTGTTTTGTTGAAAATGGTATGTGTACGCTGATGAGAAGGTGAACCAGGTACATTTAGCAGTACGCACACACTGTAGAAACTCAGAGTTTAGGACGATGTCAAGTCGCTGTAATATTTCAAATCGAAATGCATAGCGAATGCTGATCGTAGCATTTATCTCCTAACAGAAGAGAACAGGCAATTCATTACTTTGTGAATGAATGTATTTTCGAAATTATAAGGAATCCCATATGTGTTACGATTCATTGGATGAATCAGATTACTCAGATAGCCTGACATTACTGATCACTTGAAATTTTTATTGCATATACCTGTATTTGTTCACTAGACATCTGTTTGTTGGATGTTCTGTTGAATTCTACCAGTTGTTGAACTGTTTTTGACAACTTTCAGCTGAAATTAACTCTAAGAATGGAAGACTGATGTGAGAACTATGCGGACAGTCACTATGTAGATTATTTTCGTGAAGTATTACTTCTGTTTCACATCCCTGTTGTTTTCTCCCTTTGTGATGTTACGAGTACCCATGACAATCATATTAACCGTATTTGACGACCAACAAGTAACATTTTACTAGCTCGTGGTGATATATGAATTTTTATTGCTCAGTCACTGGCTCAGAAACCTCAGCTTCCACCGCTCTGTGCATCGAATGACCATCACTTTTTGAAGCTCAGATTTTCTAACTTTAGTCGATTGTCTCTGTCAGCTTAACAGATAATTATGTATTACACAATCCTAATTACAGGCACTTAATGTGCTTTTGCTGCATTTACAAGTACTTAAGTACCTGCTATAATGAATATGTTAGCAAAGCTTTGGATCTGAGTTAATTTGAAGGATAATCAAAGCCACTTTATAGTATTCTTCTTTGAAATCATGTTAGAGTTTGAATTATGGGACACTTGATACCAGTGTGAACTGAGTGTTGGTTTTATAACGGATATCAGACGACTAGACACAATCTGTAAATAACTTACCGAATATTTTGAGGCACCTGACAATACTGTATGAGTACTTAACTGAGGTAACTTTTTCGTTAATCAACAACTTGCTGATTATTTGTTATGTGCATCTGTTAGAGCATCATTTCAAATACTGGAAATAATGCAAGTGAGGACTGATTTATTTGTTAACCCAAGCTACATATAGTGACTCATGTTCACGATATGCTCAACTGTCAAACTCCTTGTCTTTCCATTGTCACTTCTTTTTAATCACCCGGAATAGTGCTCCTGAACCCTGTTGAAAAGCGTTACGTCGAACAACCTCTATACCTGTCTCCACAAGAGCTGGTGAAATGATATGCACACATAGAATTGTTTGTACACAAAAGTTTGTTCTTCGAGTTGATAGAGATCATTGGGTGATGTGAGAATACTAGTTTCAGCGTTAATTCAAAGAATATTCTCCTCCTCTTTAAAATGTCAGTGACAGAATAGCCTTTGAAATCTAGGTTCATATAAACTATCTTTCTGATATAGTGGTTGGGTTCTCTTTGCGAGGTTTAGGCTTGATATTTTGTCTACGAAGCGTGATGGGAATCAATTTTCAATCATGATATTCATTAGAACAGAAATTTCCTGCCTTAACATATCAGGACTGTGAATTTGTCTAATATGAAAGGCAAGAGATATGATCAGATTCCGTCTGTCACTCATAGGCCCCGCCTTTGACCATTCCACAGTGGTTTTCTGTGAATTGATCTTCTTAATGTCCCATTAGCTGTTCTTGTCAGCTGTATATTATAAAAGTGAATTTTCGATCCGTTTCTAACCTCAAGAATGAATTTAATTGAATTACAGGCACAAAGACAACAGTGTGGGCAAAATGAAGCGGAATCGTCTTAGTCGGATAGTATCATACCAACTGCTTACAAACCTAGAATGTCAAAGTGTATAGTTTCAGCATGTGATTCTATATTAGATTGTTTATTTGATTGATGCAGCACACAGCAACACAGTATAAGTCACTGAATAACGTTTCTAGCAGAGTTTACTACTCATTTTCATGTCATATTACATCATGTTCATACTCCGGTATGAATATGGTCAATTAAGTCTGCTCAAACCGTCATCTAGTATATTATACTATGTTATTGTATGCTATATCAGTCAAATAAACAAGCCAAAATGGAATTAAACTAAACCATAGTGCCCAAGTTTTTCTCTTATATTAATCTTCCATCTTATGACTTGTTTAGCAACTTTATCATTTCAAGTCCCTCTATTTTCATTGCTACTCTTCTGGATATTTTTGTTCGTGAAACTTCCATTGAATCACGTATGTTATAATTGTGAAAATTTTTCTGATATTTAATAAATTTCCTTGAATCTACCACTATGCTTGACCTTTACTGTACGACTATTTTTGTTTGTTTTAGCCATTCACTGATATTTTGTTTTCTTTCAGCGAACTAAAATATGTTAAATTTTCAGTCGAACCATATATTTTGATGTTCTAGTTTGTGAGAAGTTGACAGGGTACTTCTGAAATAAAATAGATCCGTTTTATCCTACTCTCGTTACCGTGTTTGCCGTTTCCAAATTCGTTAAAAGAAATTTGTACATGAAGAGAGGTAACACGGATACATAGAATATATACAATAACAATAGTGGTTGCAGAAAAGGACGAGTAGAAAGCACTTCGGGATGTTTCCAGAGGACTTTCAATAGAGCTGTGATTAGGGTGTGATTAAATGCACAATGCCATATAAAAAGCTTTATGAATCAGAGGATACTTTGGAGTTTATTAGACAAGGTAATATAGTTTATTGAATTCAGCGCTAGGATTGTGATGTCAGTTACACAGCTCAAAGTGGTCTACCAAGGTCAACAAGAATAACAGCACGAAAGCTTGAAAAAATCTAGAATGATAGACCCTAGTATCTCAGGAAATCTCAGCCACTGCGGTGTATGAGGCTATGCAGAATCCCAATAGAACAGGGCAATGTAACGGTCTCAGAAACTAAATTATCAGCATAAAAGGAGAGATTGATAACTGAACCCTTGTTTACCCAATTCACAACCAACGTATGATATCGGAATGACTTAAAATATGTTTCAGACATTGGAAGAACTCTACTATTTATACAACAAATTAAGGAGAAGAAATGTATGCATACAAAGTTGCACAGTCACCTTTGATATGACTATGAATAATAATTTGTATTTGAAAGGTTATCTAGTAAATCATACTGCTTCACTGTGTGAAATATCCAACAAACAAACTAACATAGAATTATACACTACTGCACTGCCATGTTCTTCACTTACATGACTGCTTTCCTTGATAGGAAGTATCAGTTTTTCTTCTGCAAATTGTTTGCTCTTCTGATTTGTCAAATGACTGATGACCATTAGCCTAAATTATTGGATAGTACTAATGAATAACGGAACAGTTGTTTTGTTAAAAGGTGAGACACATGCCTGTCAAATGATCCAATGAGTTTTATTGCACAAGTAACATGACCACATGAATCAAATCGGTACATACAAATCAGAGATAAATAAATAATAAGTTTCAATTTACCTGGAACCAAAATGTCCAGACATATGCATTTACAGTAACGTAATGAAGCTCTTTTGGTCACTCATTAAAATCACGAAAATGATAATGTCAATTTCATTTGAACATAGGTGAGTGTTATAGTTAGTCTTAACAGTTTTCTTGAAGAAATTTAGTTTTTGAAGCGTTTCAAATTTCCTACTGTGGATTAACATGACTGATCTAGTCACTTCACTTTGGTAATTAGGCAGTTGCCCCGACAATTTTCGTGGTAAAGGATTGGTTACGTTTAGGGAGGGTTACCATATACTTAGCACTCGTCAGCTGTAAGTTGCCGCATTCCAGTGGGTTATGCTGTTTCCACTGCAAATCACCTCCAGCAGGCCACATGAGTAAAACGAAATACTCGAATAAAACAACATCTTCCAAGTTATCAGTGTAGGTACTCGACGATGGTATAGGACAGGAGTCGTGATATATCGCGAAGTGAGAGAAGTAGGAGTGTATGAACCACTGTTTTCTAACCCAGTGATCCAATGGTAACATTCTGGCTGCGGGACCCAGAGGTTCTTAGTTCGATCCCAAGTCGGGTCATGGGTGGGCACTGCTGAGGAGTCCCTTGCTAAGGAGAAACAGATATCCAGTTTTTCAAGGGTTTCAACGGTTCTCCAGTTGATGTCAGTCCGTGATGAATACTAAGTGGTTGCTGCAATAGATGATGGAAGAATTAATAACCAGCATACACAGTATTTTCGGTAATATCACAGATTCATCGAGGTTAAATCAGAATGCCTTACAGTACTAGAGGTTTTTACAACGTAGGTGACTACTGTCTTTTGGATGCAACGAGTAACTGACGTTAAAATGACACCAAACACCATCTGAAATTTCTAGAGTACTATAAATACCAAACCACTCACAGCATAGATTAAAAAATATATCTACCACCAGGGTTATAACCAAAGCTTTTTAAGAGAAACCTTAAGATAGCAGTTAATGGCAGTGGATGAATCGATTATCAAATCAGAAATAATCTCTACAACTTATCTACCAGCTGTTACCCTGCTAAACACTATTGAACAATATGACAATATGCATGCACATAGAATGATGTGAAGTTAGTAAATAAACAAAGCTGGAAATTCTTTTCTGTTTATTTGTTATCTCAGCAAACTTAATAATCTATTTTGAGTTTTGAAAAGTTTAAGAAATACATCATCTTCGTGTATTAAAAATAATAGAGAATGCTTTAATTGAAGTGACCGATAAAGTATATATTGTACATTTTTGCGGTAACATAAAAGTTGATCGACTTGTCAAACATATATGATCACAATACACACACATGTACACAACATCGATAGAATACTTCTGATATTGCCAATAGACCTCTTTGTAAGTTCTTTGATAGGGACTTCATTTCGTGTTTGTACAAGAATTGTTATTCTGGAGATTTTGAAGATTATTATTATCATTATTATACTGAAGGTGTACACTCTGTTGTTGGTGTTGTATAACTTTAAGCTGACATGAATGATGATGAACATAAGTTTGGTGAAGCGAGTAATGTTTGCCTGGCTTCAGTATTTTTAAGGTGTGATTTTGATTAGGTGGATGTGGATACCACTTATTTTGTTTTTCAGTATGTTGAAAAATGGATGAAGTTACAAAATGTCTTATTCGATGTATAAGTCGATAAAATCCTCTTCGAAACTGGCGTCCTGTCATATAAATGAAAAACGTTAAACCATTGTTGATGAAGAATAGAAAACGACACAGTTCTTCGGCCATATGTTCAGGACGATAGTTTTCAGCCTTTGTAAGATCTAGCACATTGAACTGAAAACAAACAAACAGAGGAATAAGGAATGGAAAGAAAATCATATCTATGCATAAAGTACTGATAAGATTTATACTTAGTCTCAGAATACACTATAGGTATGGTGTTAGAGGATATCCTTATTGAAAATGCTAAATCGTTCACTTTTCAAAAATTAAACAGGCAGTAAAAATTACATGTACATATTTTACGTCTGCTTTCATAGATGACATGTAATGTCATTGTTGTACCCTGAGATTTATCCTAACTAACTATCCTAACTCATTTGCACTATACTTATTTCAGGATATATTTCAAAATTATCTCGTATAGTGTAGTAAATGGTAGAACCGAACATTGAAGATAATTGCTCAAATGATACCGAGAAAACCCAAGGAAGATGCCGCAATCATCTTGCTAGCATTGTAGTATCTGTCACTGCTTCAAATCTTGGGCATATGCGCAACATGGTAATGCTGATGATGATAAGTGGGGGTTTTGTCAGCAGCATGCATAACGATGTGTACATAGGTCATACTATCGCAAATCTCATTCTAAATCGGTTAGTAAATCTCTAAGCTTGACAGCTGCCTTGTATGCTCATCACCTGCTCGCTAAAGGTTTATCTGTGTCCAATTAAACCATTGTCCATTGTAGTTAAGGATGGATGACTCATTTGATTAACCAAATCGCGAAATTAACTAGACAATTGTAGGACGTTAGTAGCTGACAGTTGATATTGTGAATCATTTAGCGGCAATGAGAGCTGGTAGATTTCAAGACAATTAACTAACCACAGCAAATAAGGTACCGTAACAATGACCCACTAGGCTATTGAGTTGTTTTTCAGTGTCCGATTAGGGCTTTCTGTTCTCTGTTGCTTGGCTTTCAGAAAATGCAATGGCACATATTTATGTTTACAGACTTTTGACTAGATTGTTAATAATGTTAAATATTTAAGATACTTATTAAAATTGATCATACACTACCTTCTGGTCAAGCATGATCGGCAAACTAAGAGAATAAAATATCTTTCCATTTGCATTTTTCACTCTCTAGTTGTTTTTTAATCCATAGACTTCACTGGAACCAGGTATTTTCTATCAAAAAGGTTTTAATGTGATAAAATATAATAAATTGGAAAAGAAATCTAAGAATAAAAAAGGCTAAATTTATACGTTTGAAGGTAAGTGATAAAGCCAAGGGGGCATTTTTAAAGATCTGGAAAGTAAGGTACTGATTTTTAAAAAAGGAAATTATTCATCGCTTAATCCCTCTAGTTCACTACCTGACAATTCATTTTTCTGAATTTTGAAGGTTGTATCAATATACACAGCTACTTCCAGTATCATACTGCACCGTTTCTCTCAACTTCACTGCCTAGATATTTTCTAACTCTCCAAGTAGGTTTCAACTTCATTTGTTTAAAAAAAATGACATTTACAAGATTTTAACTAAAATATATATGTTTTGAAATTATGTTATACGTTGACTGCTTTTTATCAGTTGGAGGTCAGTAGCCAAGGAAACCAAACATTACCCAGTAACTGTTTTCTATTACCATTATATCATCAAAAAGGAAATCTTCATAGGAAAATAATCGGGATATTAGAAAATAAGATTATTCTTAGTTCAACAGATTCTATATAGACAAATGTCATCCTCAATTAATTTGTACGTCATTATGAACTTCTCTCAGATTTTAAATTATAATAGGTAACATTTTAATGTGCTAACAGTGCTCTATAGCTGCAAGAACTCGCGGATTGAAAATATGAGAGACATATGAATCTGTGTTTATTCTTGCTTTATCTGACAGTATAAGGAAAGAAACTAAACACTGATACCCTTAAGGAGCACCGAAATTTGTCACTTGACATGAACGATATCGTCTTTTTTAGTTTTGCCATGTTTTATGTGTACTGTCCTTTTCTGTCATGAATGATATACTCACCTTAGGGTTAGTTAAGAGAAATATCAAAGAACTAAATTCATGACTTATCATAGAGAAAACGAAGCCAAATTTTTTGCGATAGATATCGCTGCAATTATCAAAACTCCATTGGCAGAACGTCATTCAGCATGTTGCTCATTGATTTCAAAATATTGAAAAAACCATTTGCGAAAGCTAGAACAGAAATGAAAGTGAATGTCATAGGACGCATTTGAATCCTTCTCCTAACGTAAAGACAGCATTATGGATAATCCCATGTTAGTTTGTTTGTTGCGCATTTCAAACAGTGATGAAGTGAATTTATTGGATAACTTTTGAAGACAATGTTTTTGTTGGTATTCATATCAAAGGCGAAAAGCATTGTGTAAAGTTTGTGAAGTCACCTCTGACATGACCGTGAATAGTAATTTGTATTCGAAACGTCATCCAGTAAATAATACTGCTTCGCTGTGCGAAGTGTTCAACAAAGTAACGAATAAGGAACTGGGCAGTATCACGGCCTTATATATATATATATATATATATATATATATATATATATATATTATAAAGAGAGATTATGTTAATTTGCCTGTCAATGATAAAATCGTGTGAAGTCAATTACTGCATATAATGCTGACAACACTTACAATGTAAGTATTTAGAAGAAAGTACGGTAATTGAGGCTAATGTCTAGGAAAGAATATAAGTGTTGGCTGGTACTGTAGTAGGATGTTAGTGAATAAACGGAATCTGAATGTGAATATGTCCAAAAGAGTTGACATATGACCTTACCTATATCGACCTAAAACAATCTTCTCTCATGATTTATGCAGGGAAGCTTCAAAGCTTATTGAAGTTGTTTCCTGCAGCCACTCTTAGATTGACTTTCAGTAACAGATGTATCTTGCCACTACCTCTGGAAGATACAATTTACCATCTATCTCTATACTCCTGTGAAACCAGTTATTTAGGATACACCATGAGAACCCGTTTGGAGCGTACGAAAGGATATCTCCTGATATAGCTAGAAAAGGTTACAGGTTCTTTCCAATTCCACTTCATTGGCACCGGTTACACCACATCTGGCTGGATGTAACAAGCAACAGGAATTCATCTTCGTCAAACTACTAAAGCTATTGGGATGGAAATCACGGAACCTGAGTTATATGTGCAAAAACATCTCGAACACACACATTGTTGTCATCCATAAAGATGGAATTCACATAATTCATCTACAGAACAACTCAGCTAACTTGTACATATTCTGCATTAATCTAATTTGGTGGTATTTTTAAGTTACACTTCTTTAAATCTTTGTTCTGACTTCTCATTTGACCGAATATTTCATAGTTACTAACATAATGTTGCGATTTTCCATTTTAATGCATTTGCAATTGATGACCTACGTACTTGTTTATCCGTTTAACAATTAATTATGCGATATCATGTAAAATAAACTGTTCTACTATTTTAATGCCAGAGTTAGCTAACTATACAGGCAACTGTCACTATTCTACCACCCGAAGTGCGTATGCCCTTTAAATGTGTGTAACATTGTATTTAAAGGTAGAGGCTGATGCGACTGGCTAAAATTCGTATTATCTAGAATTCTCGTCTTCCATTATCGTTACTGTTTCACTCTTTAAGTCACTTCATGCGTTCACATTTCTAGTTTTTTTATCCACTAACTTTATTCTTTAGTATTATGCAATCCAGATGTTCTTCCTCAAGTGTTGACCAACTGTGATATTTGTAACATTGGATTACATTATTGTTCCTTTTTCAATATTCGTATCAATAATTATTTTGTGATGGTTTTCAGTATTCTTTACTCGTAACTGACTAATCAGCATGATTTCTGGCATTGACTGAAGAATTACTTGGATTGCTCTGTCCCTCTCTCCGCTCTCGTCATATACGTATGTCATTAGACTCTGTAATTGATGGGGATATGATTCACTTACTTGTCTTTGTTGAGTTTGAACATTGTCAAACAAAACTCATCATGAAAGCAACAATGTTTCCGTTTTTGTTTTCTTTTCTGACACCAAAGGTAAATAATCATTAAGCAGTAGGGATAAAATAGGTGAAATGTTGTTTCTCTGATTTTTTGAAATTATATAATTATCTTTTTTCTGTTTTGATTGTCGTTATAATGTACAGTCTTTGGTCTTTAATGTACATTATTCAAACAAAGCACCGTGTTACACTTTTTTGTGATTTTTCATAATAGTGCCTGGAAAGAGGACAATGTATTTGAACTGTATTCAGATTAGAACTATGCAAGTGAAAACTAAAGCAGGCAAGTTATCGTTTTCACCAGTTTGATAAGAAGTTTTCATAGTTAGTCAGGGTCAGTTTTGCTACTTCGTTACCCAAGTAAGTAATGACAAGATTACTGAAGCCTACCTCTAGTAAATGCCTAATAAACACATCTGTGTTGAAAACAGTAACTTATTTGTTCAGGAGTTTTTTAAGGCAAACCTTTCACAGATGTATGGTCGATAACGCTACCTTTAAAAATGTAGCTTCAGTGTTTTAAAACTTGTAGAAACCAATAAAAGCCATTAGAAATGAAACATCGCTTAGCTTGTGAATTTCAGACTTATCAGTAATGCACATCTTCTACATCGATTGGTAATCGTAATCTTGAGGACACAGCTGCAGGGCTATATGTTCAAACTACTGGGTAGGACATTTTCTAAGTTCAATCAGTCTATCATGTATAGCTCAGCAGTTATGTTTGAAATCATACACTGGGTTGTGAGCAACTCAATGATCACGAAGATAGTTGCGCCATATCATAATTTAGGTAATAACAACAGATGACAACTGCTAAATTCTAGTTATATAGCTAGGTACGATGCCTGCTATGAGACGTGAATGTTGTCATTTCAATTGAACATGGTAGATCTATGTTGTAGCAAATCGCTTTACATATAAATTTAAAACGAATCAAACTATATTCTAGCCTGTAGACACTTTTTTGAAGGTTAAATATAAAGCAATATGTTTAGGAAAATTTCTGTAATCTTAAAAGTATTTTCTATCGACTAAATTTTCATCCTCTTGACTCACAATTTC